TAGCATCATCTGAAACAGCCTTATTATTTCTTCCTAATATTTTATCTTCTTCTGGCCGTGAATCCTCCCTGTTACATACTCCGGACCTTCTTCTGCTAATTTCAACACCTCCCAAGTGTAGTTAACTATTTCCTAATTGTGCACTATCCCCATGAAAGAGCAAACCAAGATGCTTCCTAGAACTATACTCATTAGCAAAATGCTATGTTCCTTAACATAAATAACAAACCACCTTCTTTCCTTTGGACTACTTGTTTTTATCATCCTTTTTTGACTAGTATAGTAATGGAGAGAGCACTTGTTGCCCCAGAGATGGCAGGGCTGCATTTGGGCTAAAACTCTGCCAGTGTTGTAAGAACTGTGGAGTTGTCTGCACAGCTTGAGAAAGAAAAGCCCACAAGCCTTCAAATAGAACTTGCGGACCTAGCTGATTTGAGAATTGTTAGTAAAATTCTGGTTGATGAATATATGGTTGTGTTTGTGCGAATTGTGCTGTGGGAACACTGCCTATTTGAAAGATAGAGGTATGAACCGGTGACCATTCCAGATGAGAATAATATGATAGTTTCAGTTTCTTAGCTTTAGGAAAACATTGTGTTGCTAATCTAGCTCTTTCACGTTTACTCTCTAAAATTTTAGACATTGGGTCCGACAAGTCCACAGTTGCTATTTTAGATGCAACCTCCATCCATCTTCATCAGCGACTTTCACCATATATGCCCTCACCATAACAACCTGCTTTGCCAAACGAACATAGGCTATATCACCAGTTACCAGGGCCTTATCTAACAATGCCCCTACTTTATACTATTCATTATACTCCCACTGATTACGCTGTTTTGACAACTTACGTTTTTCCCACATATCCTTACGCTTCACATCATTTAATGTCAAAGTACTAAAATACGCTCCCCAATTCATAGCTTCTTTATCCCAAGACCCATTGTGTGCCAGGTTCGAACCAAGGTTGGCCTCCCTTTCGAAAGAGTTCCGAGGGTTTTGTACACCTGATCTCAACTGTTGGGACCTATCACCAGTCTACTGAAACATGTCAGGGTCCTTCAATAAACTTTCGCTCCTGTTCTCTAATGGCTGCGGTTGCACATCTTTCCCTTTTCCAGGTACCTCAGAGACATCAATGG